ATTCTTGCCAGTGCATCACCTCGCCTTCCCATTCACAGAGCTCAACGCGTTCACAAGACCGTGTTGCGTAAGTGTCTTCATCTACAAGGACAGTATTGTTTGCATACTCCAATTCAACCAGATGACCTCCAGGTAGGGAGTAGATCAGTCCATGTGAAGTCAGACGTACCACTTTAGGTTTTTTTCATTACTTCGTCCATGAAGTTAAATAGGAACGGCGGCAGTGTGCATTCTTGGCGGACACCAGTAGTTGTCGTCACTTCAGATGACGACTGTCCATCAGTTCTGATGTGGCTGTGTGAGTTTGAGAAGAGATTTTTGATTAGTGTTGTATGGCTATTCAGTACTCCCTTTACAGTCAGCCACTGCCATAACACCTCACAGTCGACAGGGTCGAATGCTAACCTCAGGTCAAGAAATATGGTAAGTGTCGGCTGCCGGTAGGTATGCCCGTGTCTCAGAACCTGTTGAAGGGTGCAAATATGGTCGATGCAACCCCATCCAGCTCTGTCTGAAACCTGCCTGGTTTTCTCGAGCTTGCTGTTATCGAACTCCAGTTAGGCGTCGGATAACTATAAATCCTAAGATATTCGGCATAATATTAGTTAAACTAATTTCCCTGTGGTTGTCACGAGAAGATGCCTATCCCTTCTTATAGACTGAGATGAACTGAGACATAGAACAGTCTGACGGCACTACCTCTGATTCCCATACACTATCCAGTTCCTTCGTTGCTCTACTCAGTAATTTCCTACCTCCATGCTCGAAAACTCCAGGTGGCAAACCGTCAGGTTCAGGTGCTTTGTATCGTTTCAGATTCGATACAGCTTTCTGAACTTCATGGAGAATTGGAGGACCGACATCTGCGTATCACTCAGGTGTAGACCGCATGTTAAGCAGTTGAAGCATTACTTTGAGGCAGTTGAAATGTGCTTCAAGATGGTCCGCCCAACATTCTAGCTGTTTGTCATAGGAGGTTGTCAGCGTCCCATCCTTTTTCATGATGCTTTCACTAACCATCGTCTTCTTGCATGTATTCTTAATAACCCTAAACAGTAGCGAGTGTTATTCAACGCTGATCCTTTCTCCATCTTTCTCACTCTCATCATCCACCATTGTTCGTGATCGTCGTGGTCATGTTACGTTTAAGTTGTTTTCGCTCATTGTAATCAGAGCCAGGTAGAATGAGTCTTCTCGCACCAATCAGTTCGGATGAAGTTGTGAAATCCATTAACTTTTGTTAACCTTCTGATGTAGGTTACCAGCTGTCTTTACCGCTGTTTCTATAGCGCCCATTTTTCTCAGGATGAGCATTACTATCATGTACTCCAGAAAGAGCAGCAACCCTCCACCGATCCTCTCCAACGATGGCTGACGGCAATATGATCTATCTGTATCCATCATTGGTTTACAGTCAGCGGACGCCATGTGAGACAGTGTCTCTCCTTATGCCTGAAGCTAGTCCTGGCCAGGAACAAGTGACTGTTGGAGCAAATTGCAAGGCAACCTCTTCGTTGTCGACCCGTTGGCATGGGATTTCGTACATACCTGTAGGATACCTTTCCGATTGGCCCATCTCAGCTTCCCTACTTGAGCGTTAAAGTCACCTGCCATAATGACTAGGTGTGAACGTCTTGCTTTCTGTAGCGAATTTGACAGCTTCTCACTGAATTCATCCTTTGCACCGTGTGAACTGCAGTCGGTGGATGCTTAGACGGAGATTACGAATAGTCTTCGCTGTCTCACTATCCTCCCTTGTTCTTACAAATCCAGCCAGTCGAACAGTCGAACATGGGCTGCTGTTGATTGTTGAGTAGTGACACCTCAATGGTATACCTACACCAGCGAGTCGACGAGAGCTAGTCATTGGGTCTCTAGATACTCTTAACGTGACTTTTGAAAATCCACTGCTATGGTCAGCTGACATCAATTTAATAAGCATACTGGGGTTCTGTTTGTATTCGTGTCTTACAGACACGGCTAGGAATCGCACAGTTATAGCGAGCGACGCTTTCTGTCCGATTTGGTATAGACTTCACACGTTGAAACCTCCTACATGAAATCAGTGGCAGGAGACTGAGGTCTTGATGGTTTTGATCGTTGGCAATGGTTGCAGAGTGAAAGGTTGAGTAGGACGTAAGAGGCTTAATGCTTGTATGAGGAGGTGAAAACAAAGGAGAAGATAGAGTTGAGGAGGGTGTGTTATGTTTGATTGGGTCTTGTGTACTACTAGAGGCATGTACGCGACTGACACTTCTTGGCTGCCCATACCGTGGAAGGCTATTTCTTCCTAAGGTACCTGAAATAGAAAGCGATTTGTTTAACCGCAGAGCCCATGAGATATCTGCTGGAAATATGTCACAGCCTTTTGCGGATTATTGTTTTGACATTTGGTTGTTCTAACGTTCGAGTGAGAAAAATCTATACCACCGTTATTGTAGGACCATGGAGAAGGGAGGAATGTGCTGTTTCTGTGGTCAACCTTTTGTAACCCACTCTCTCTTCCCATAAGGAAGTCAAAATCAGCGTATCACTGCTGGTCATCCATGGGAAACATCTAACTACTGTCACACTCCATCCAGCGAACAGTACGACTTCATCCCCAGACACCCATCATAGAGTGGCAGTTTACACTACAGCAGCAACTGCTTTTTATCTTACTACCCTCCAACAGACCCTTTTGGCAAAGTAGAACTTTGAGGGAACAAGCTTTCGAGCCAGTGTAACGCGATGAGTCACTGAGATTTGTGAGCCCGACCACCACGTCAAGGTAGCAACTCTTGGTTTCACCCGTAATCACCGAGTTTTTAAGCGTCAAGAAACAGCCCGAGATCTAACACCTTGGTCCTGTGAAGAACCTGCATTTGCGATTATATCGCCAAGGTAAACCAGGTGTTTTGATGGACTAAGCCGTCTAAAATTATCTCTGTCGGTAACTGAAATGTGGTGGTTACTCAACCCATGGAGCATGATTTAGAATCTTTTCAGTCCCTTAGGTGACACGAACGCCTTCGTTTGACGACTTTTTGGTCGCACCTGGTTGTAACGGAATGCACGATCCAGGGTCGAGAAACAACGGGTGCCGCAAAGGGTCGAAAATAGTCGTGTTCTGTAATGGCATTAATTTTACGATAGTCAACGCACACAGACAACAGCCATCCTTTTCCTTCACTAAGACAGTGGTTGATGCCTATGAAGAAGAGGTTACAAAAATCGTTTTCCCTAGAACATCATGTATTAGCGAGTTTAATTAGAGTTACTGATGATCAGAACTTCATCGAAGTGGTTTGCACAGTAAAAGTAAGTGTCGATGACATGTTGTAGGATGCCGGTGCGCTATGGGTTGTCACCACCATCGAAGACACCTGAAATTTTCGTGTAAGTGACAGCGTTCTTTTATGGGTGTCGTCGGCAAGGACGGGCTGATAAAGTAAAGCAAAATATGAGTGGCTGATAGAAACAGATACAAGAGAAAATGTCAGTCGAACAGAAAGTGAGTAAAAGGTTAGTTCGTTTGGACTACAAGGCAACTTGCTGGAGCATGAAGATTAACACAACATAAAGAAACAAACAAAAAACATTCAAGGATTATATGTTTGGGATACTACTTATACTAACACTAACAATACGACGACTCCTTATACTAACCGTGTGGTATTATATTCTGCTGCCGACTTATATATGGTTAATGGTATTTCTCAAATGTAACTTCTCATTCATTGGTTAATCCTTGTTTTTTGTAAATTTGTGAGCTATATTTATTATGAGAGAAAGCCCTTAAATGTATGGAAACCGCATCAAGATTTGAGTCATATTTGTCAAGGTACATAAGCAATCACAATAAAGGAACAGATTGTATGTACAAACAAACTACTACCTAAGCGATCATTGGCTAACTGCCCACATGAGTGTGTTAGAAACTAGTCAGCAGAAACTCCTGCTTGAACTGCACTTCGTCTTTGTTAGAAGTCATCGACATGGTGTATCTGCTAACTTGAGGTAAACTCAGATCCCCTTAGAAATGTGAAGCTCGTCACTCAGTGAGGTTAGCGGATTTACCAGTAAGCTAGGCAAGACACAACTAACCCTTCTGTAGAACTGGAATATGCATACAAATCGGTCATCAGAGCGTAAACAGATGTAGCTATCATATCTTAAGTTTTCGGTATTAATTGACTTTTTAACATCTAACAGTGTACTGCATTCAGCGTGATGACCACGCACTTATTACTTGACTGCTACCTTGGTTACCGTCCCGTAACCAATTCGTGTATATAGAAGTAAGTCGAAATTCAATATATTTGCGCATCAGCTGCTACTAAATTCCGTAAGAAATGAATCTAACATACAATCACATGACATATTTTCACAGAAAAAAGTATTCTTTGCCAGAATCTTTGTGGTCTACTACAAGCATTCTGCACAAATGTATTCGACTGTGATGCACTATTAGGTTAAAAGACAATGGTGAATTAAGAATTGTCTCCATGTTTAAAATATCAAGTGCATCCGATGACTAAGTCCATTTTGATTGCCTTCACAATATTTCACATTATGATGTTGCATTCTTCATATTGTCAGCCAAATTACATTGCTGATAGTTCGAATGTTACTAGTATGGAAGTGCAAAAGAGAAACTTTATACTAAAGTCGTAACGCTTTTTTAACAAACACTTTAACAATGTGCATTGGAAATCAATTACTTGTTCTTTGTGTCTTCCTTTTATCTAGGTCTAGTGAGTCGGAATCTCCATGTTCTTCTCCATATGAGCATAAGATTTATTCACCGGAATTATGCGCACATCATTCTGACACAAAAAACCCTCAAACGAATACAGATGCTTGGATTACGAATTCAAATGACTCATCTACATCTTCAGTCGCCTTATCACCAGCAAATCAGAAAAAGCTGAAGTTAATTGTGCATTCAGATCCACAAAAGCCAATAGAAGCAAGTATGAGTGATCCTTCCTTATGTACTACTAATCCAAACATTACTCCCACCACAATACCACCACCATTTTCCTCTCCAGCCCATCAATCGCGTCTTGCTGCGAAACAACGCTTCTGTCTAGAGCCTCCCAAACCCTTAACAATTGATCCACTACGCTTTATTGGTTCAAGAAACCAAGAACGTACACTTATATGCGCGATGGATGATTGTTCTGAGGTTGTACAGCCTATTAAAAGTCCTACGATTTCCACAGCAAATGTTTGGCCGACAGGCAATGAAGAAGAACTCACGTTTTTGGATTTACCATCGAAAGTACTATATGACGAAACCCAGTTTCCTTCAACTCACTCTCCACATACATCTTTTAGAGGTACACCAGACTATGAAAACACAGTTTATGAAAGTGACTCTGGTGAATGGCTAAGCGGCGACATCCAACAATACAAAGATATTAAGGAAGTACCTTTAGCTACTCCTGAAGACGTCAAGGACACTGACTCTTCAGCCATTTTAGTTGAACAACCTTTGCATGAGTATGAAAAGTCGAAATCCACCAACGATTCCTCATCACTAAATTACAGTCCTCCAGGTTTCTACCAGCTTCTATCTGTAACTAGGAAAAAAAAGTCAAGTAGTATTCGCTTTAGTGATTGGAATTCAGATGCATCTATTTCCAGTCCACCACCTCCTATTCAACGTAGGTCAATTAGTTCACCTTTAAGTCAATCTGCTGAACATCTAACTTGGGCTAAAATCAAACAAATTACAGTCAAGGAAGAATTTGAGTCTACGCATATTTCGGAATCACCTCCATTAGCTAGGTCATATGACAAACAAAAGAAACAGCTACAAATCCAGCTCGATCAAACAAATGAACGTGAATATTTGATCGACCCGAAAATGCTGTATAAGAATTTTAGTATATATAGCGCATGTGAAAATGACATTTCAGATACATCTAGCACAAGTAGTGCAGATCTTGCTTCACAGTCTGTAATTATGCCAAAGCAATCCAATATTCAATTAATAAATGAGAGATATTATAATGTAAATATTGTAAACATTGAAGATATTCGTCCCAATAAGAATTTAGAGAAACTTCAAAAAACTGTAAGTTCTACTCGACATTACTCAAACAGAGACTCCAGATCATTAGACAGAAAGGAATCAAGTTCTCTTAGAATTGTGTATCAAACACAAGCTGGAAATCCATCGTATCCTTCCCTTTACTCTGCTGAATCTGAAAATCCTGTCTCATTTAAAAAATCCTCCTCACATCGAACCAAAGTACACCCACATACTACTCAAAAAGGTACGACAAGCCCAGATCCTGAAGGTGTATACGTGTTTCGTGTAGGTGGGAGACCTGGGACAGAAAAATCTAACTCGACACCTGGAGCGAATCAAACGCCTACCAAACCAGGTATTCTTAAGAAACATGTAAGTGAGAAGAAATTCATCATGGGCGGTGATACAAATGAGCGTGACAGGATTTCAGTCTGATTTAATTTCACCACGTAAGTAGACATTGCATATTTAAACTATGAAGTTATTATTACCTTCAAATTATCGCTTATTTTGAAATACGAGATGTACACTTTACTGACCTCAGCATAGCGTATCGCTAAACCCTGATGGATAAAAGCACGACAAAAGACACCCCAATACATGGACTTCTTGGTAAGCAGATCTGTCGTCTATGTGTTTGACAAACGCATCCATATGTACATTCGTGGTATATCGGTTAGGACCTGTCTTTTCACGTCTCACCATATCAAGGTTAGCTAGGAATTTGTAAGAACAGAAGCAGCTGTCACCATAGTATGAATAAACACACTGTAGTAGGGATCTGAGGACTAGCTGCAATAGCATATTACGTCAGATTACTTTTCTGCTAACAGTTTACCGTCATGCAACTCTGGAATGAAAAAGTTGATTAGAGAAGCTGTAAATCAAGCCCCATCCTATGGTGAGGCAGGGATGAATTATATCAATAGCTGTCAGTTTTGTTAGACAAAGCAAGACGAACGTTCAAATGTGTTCGTGATAGCAGGTAATATGAGAACTCAAATGGGAAAGCTAAACCAATCAGCAAGGCATCTTGGAGATATCTACGGAGTGCCATGGCAACGATGATCGTTTCTTGCAGTTTTGTTCTGACAATCACTCGTTCCTGGCCAGCAATAGTTTCAAACATAAGGAGACACTCAAGTGGCGCCTGCCGACATCAAACCAAGTATTGACGCAGGCAGATCATATTGCTATGAGCCATCATTGGAGGACTGCCGCTCGGTTACAATAACGCAGGTGTATTCACTCATTGACGTCTTCTAAAGCCTAAATGTTCTGACTAAACGTAATTTTTAAATTTCCTCTCCCCCATAGACCTTTGTCTATTTTGATATCACTCTTGTTCTATCCACCTCTTTGTGTGCTGCTGTGAAGTGTGCCAACTTGGACCGATGCACTTTTGCAAGGTTCTACACTGACTTTGTCTGTCTTATCCTATAGATTTTCGTCTCAGTTTTCTCAGGCTTCAAGTTTTTTCTTTCTCCACCTGAAATAACTCTAGAACTCGTGCCTTGGTCAAACGGAGGGAATCAAAACTAAACATGAATGCTGCAAAGTTGTATGCTTCTAATCATAAGGAAATAATTAGCCTAAAACTGAAATTATACGTCGAGCTGTGGCTCAGAGGTTTTAGATGGCTATCAACCATTGGGTCGCGACTTCGAGTCCCGCCTCACCTACCGAGGTTTCGGCAGCCAAGTACTATCATTGGCCCTCACACAATAGGCGTGGCTCACTGCCTACTGCATGGACGTGCACAAGGCCGTTGAGTGCGTTTCGTTCCGAACTGTCATGCAGAGAAGTTTGTAAAATTGTCTGGTTAGCACACAGTATTGTCTCTCAAAAGATTGATGTAGGAACTTCTCTAACAGTATGAGTGATTTTTTCCTGCTTTCTTCGAATTTCATACTGTCTTGTCATAATAATCCAGTACGAAATAATCATTCAGTTTGTGCCACTGAGGATATTACTTCCGAACTGATCACCAATCTGTATTTTAATAGTTGCCAGTAACTGATTAATATTAACTTATGCAATGAAAGTCAAAAAGCATGAGTTTCTGAACACCAAGAACGAGACCCGATAATTTCTGGCAGACTTTACAGAAAAACTTCACCTTACAATATCATGAATCATATTAAAACCCTGTTGTCTATACTTGAAAAGCAGTCAGGAAGTCCTACCTTGAAGATGGGACCAATTGTGGTGCTTACTCGATAGCACGAGATTCTTGCCATCCACTTACAAGTTCATAAGCTAGGTAATGAATGACCATTATCTTGTGATGCGCATAAGACTACTTGGACATCCGTAGGTGGTTTCCGAACCTGTGATCTGCTCCTTGGAAAGCAATTAACTAGTGCGCATCGTACTACAGGTGTTCTGACTAACAAGACGACTGTTTGATAAGTTCATCCACATTCTAGCAATGTTTCCTTAGAATATAACGGATAATCGAATATGTTTACTCCTAAAATACAACGTAGTTAACAGCACAAATACAATGAGTTTACATAACAGACAGAGCTGTCGCATACATGACTATGAGTACCATTCAAAAAGAATCATTTTTAGATGTCAAACTATAGCTGAGTGACTTGAACATGCAACTGTTAACTATGAGTGAAAACCCATCACCACTTTAAGGTTGGTAGTGCAGTTGATTTCTACACATAACAAATATGATACCATCCATTCGCATTCTCAAGCACTTTTCTATCGATTGCGAACAGGTAAGTAACACGAATTTCCAATGCTTTTCTCAGGTCTTTAATATGAGCCACAGTTACTTATTGTTTTTTAAAGAATACTTCTCTCTTCTTTACATTCCTAGGATATGAAATGCGTGTAACTTTTGGGTCATGCTCTGAAAACATATGAACCTGAGCGCTTTCCAAACACTCTAGTCCAATATTTTCGGACCAACAGATATTTGACCACATCTGCTTCTTTCCTTGTAGGATCACTGTCAGTGCAATAATTAGACACTTCCTTGTGTGGAATTTTACCAACCCTTTAATTTGACGCTGAAATACATGGAACTGTTTGCCTCAAACTACTTTGTTCCAATTACTATATTCATTTTTCTTTGATTCTAAGTGGAGTTATCTTTCATATTATTATTGGCTGCCTCGATATTTACTGCAACCGAATATGGTTAGTAAGGGTTAGAACTATTCAGATCATATCTATATATCATGTACCTAACCAATTATGCAAACTTTTCAGTTTTTAAATCAGCATTGGTTACCCAATCAGCAAAAATCAAAATAAATTCCGTAAAATATAAAGAGGATTATTTTCTGGGAATAATAATCAAAAATTATGTACAGTAGTCCCTGCGCATACCAGGATGCTTTTTAAAAAATGAGAATCAGTGAGTTAGTGGACAAAATACGTAAAATCTTACTTCCAAAGTAAAAAGTAATCTAAGGTTGAAATCAACATTTCACTTTTTTTTACAAAGAATACTGTACAAATATTTTATAATACATGAGAGGTTGAACATTGGCAGCTAAGGATTTTTTAGAAGTGACACTAAATAAGAATGAGCCAACTGTGGTTAGATCACATTGAAGCGCTTTAGTAGAAATAAAATTAGGAAAATGAAAAAAATTAAGGCTGAGAACGCCAGTACGTTTTGTAGTATGTACGTGTACGACGAAGTCTTGGCGTTCGGGAAAGTATAACTTGTATATCTCTCAAGGTAGCACGATGGGCTCTGAGACTGAGTGCTAGTGAAAACCCCGCCGTATTTGACGTATCACTGGTCCCACCGACTGTTGGGGCTAAAGAGTTCGAATTCGACGGCGTAGCTTCTAAACTGAACTGCGTTAAATTGGATCCTGAGGTCACAATTCCTAATCGACTGGCACTGACAATGGAAAGGCGACTAGCTGTTGGTAGGGTACTCATCAAGCTAGCGACACCATCTCTTGTTGAAAGAGGAGCTCCTAGATTATCAGCTGAGACAGTACTACCCATTTCATCCAAAGTATCTAGACGACGCTTGCGTTGTGGGCCGATAGCGTGAAGGGCTGTGAGATTAGCTTGATGTTGCTTTTCGCGTTCATAATCTTCAGATGCTATCCTTCGGGCCATTTCCCTCATTTGCATTTGGTGGGGATCTTCATTTCGAGAACGCGACTGTTAATAAGGAAATTCAAAACGTTAGTGGTTTTATTACGTATTTTGGTTATTGCAAGCGTCAAATAAACTAGTAAAAATTGGTAACTTTAAGAAAACTTTTGCACCACACTTCGCTGATACTGTTAACTAATACTGTAAATATGTAGTTAGGATTATTTATCTGCTAGGTGTGAAATCTCTAAGCTCACTTGAATCCTAAAGGAATATTGGGATAGACTCATTCGTCACATTTGGTCAACAAAATTAAAGATAACAATCAACTCTAATTTACCTAGTTCACAGTTAAAGAAAAATACTACTTATGATACACACGCTTCGCAAACTTACCTTAGCAGCTTTTAGAATCAGATCCTTTTCCAGTTCCGATTGCCGTATTCGATCATGCTCATCCAACTTTTGAAGAAATCTCAACTGTTCACGTGTATGGTCTGTTTGCAATAAACGGGAGTCCTCTCCTAAACGATCGAGACGATGTGAAACAACAATCCGCAATCTCGATAAAAGACTTTTAATAAATATTTGTAAACCATGGGCAAGACATACGACACCTTCTTCTGTTAGTGTTTTGATACCATGAGCTTCTAATACTTCTCTGACTCTTTCAGGAGGGAAGAATGGGTTGTCACGTGTAGGCGAAGCAGGCGCATGACGAATGTCATCGTTTAACGACGAGGTGTCACTTGATTTTCGGTCTCCACTTTCAATAAATACAGTGGATCCGCCCAGAGATAAGAGATTAGAACCTACTTTGTTGTGAACAGCAGGCAGGAGGATTCCAGACGAATGAGAATTAGAATATCCGGATTTAGCACGAATCATAGGAGATACAGTAGCTGAGATTCCAGAAGCTGACTTTATTGAAGTAAGGTTAATGCCTAAGGCTGAAGACGCGGAGGAGGCTATAATTGGTCGCAAATTCTGATAGTTTGGTCGAGTCCCGTTAATGGCTGGCGTAAAACGTGTCGAAACCACTGTCGCAGCTGTTGTATTAGGTAGGACGGTGGTTGAGGATGTGACACTGCTGATAGGTTGGGTTAGGCGATATTTCACGGCAAGACTCGATGTCATAGCTGCATCAACGTTCAGTGCCGATGTTACAGTAGTCCTGGGAGGAGCAGGAGCCAATAATGGAGGTTGTGATCGAGGCATCGGAACAGTAGTTGGGCTGGGTTGAATAACTGATGATGAGATTGACGTCATAAGTGTGCCTACTATACGAGGAGTTGTATTGGTCGGAAGAGTGACGCGAGGGCCGCCTGTCGTCGATGAGGAAATAATTGTAGAGATCGCGGCATTAGGACGAGCTTGAAGACCCACAGTAGGTAGCGATGTTACAATTGTGACTGGAACAGCCGTTGGCATAGTTTTCGAGAACATATCTCTTGGCGGAGGTTGTATGTTTGGCAATCGACAAACGCCATTGGCTAGATCCCTCCTCAGTAAATCTATGTTGTCTTTTATGAACGGAGCAAGATCCATACCAGGATTGGCACTTTTAAGATTGCTACGTAATTGTGTGCTGAACGAACTGGCATCAAGCTCTCCATTCTATTAAAAAGGAGGCAGTTGGTGCGAAAAAATCAAAACGGAAAAAAACATTAGTAGGACTCAAGTACGAACAGCTAGTCAATAATATGGATAAGTAATACAAAAATCGAAATATCCAATGACAATTCGGTGGAGACTTTAAGTAAGCATATTGTAATAAGGAAAGTTAAGATTGTCTGCTACGAGTACACAACCATCATTTGGAAACAGTCAACTTACTAGGGGTAGTAGACTGCTAAAGTAAAAGAAATAACTGTTTCACTTTAGTGTAAAGAATACTGAGTTTCTGACCGGACGACTGATAGCAGTTAACAACCACCATTTGAGAGAATACGCAAATATAGAATGAGTTCAGTTAAAGGATTGGAGTCGAAAATCAAAATGCGCTCAGCAAGCTTGTGCACACTTGCGCAGTAGGCAGACGCACCTATTGTGTGAAGGCTAGTAACACTACCTAACCGTCCAAACCCCGATGATATGCGGAGCAGCGCTCCAACTCAGACCCACTGGTTGCAACGTCTCCCTAAACCAATGAGCCACAGCATCACTTGAACAAGAGTGACACGACTGCAGTGAAAACCGCTAACTACTATCTAGAATATCTTATTAGTGCTGGAGACATCTTTGTGCAGAGAAATCCTCGACATTTTTTAAATTGCAAACTGTGTTCCAGTTAAAGACTTTTCGATGGAAAACACCCAATGAATGAAGTTGGTTTGTGTGTTCTGTCTTACAAAAATCCGCTAAACCACAGGGGATTTCGATAGACCTCCCCGACCGATAGCTTTTACCTTAACGTGGTGGTCGGGCTCACATATCTTCATGACCCGACCTAAACAAGCTCGAAAGCTTGTTCTCTCGAGGTCTCATCATACCAGAAAGGTCTGCTGGATGGTGGTGAGACGAAAAGTAGTTACCGTCGTAGCGTGAATTGCTACATTGGGTGTGACAGCAGTTAGGTGTTCCCCTTGGATGACCAGCAGTACCACGTTGATGCCGCCTTAACTGTGGAAAGAGGGCACGGGTTAGAAAAGCTCAGTCACAGAAAACGCTCCTCCCTGCTCCATGATCTTACGATCCTGGCGGTACAGGATTTCTCAATCCAGTGTTGGACTAATTGAATCTATGACCAACAATCCGCAAAAGGCTATGAGCGACGGGCCTCAAGCGGATATCCCATGGGCTCTGTCGTCACACAAGTCTTTTAGGCACCTGCTGAAACGACACATAGGGTGTGAGCAATCGAGGTGTCCACCGCTCGCACTTTTCAAGTAGCACAACAGACCCAATCAAACAAACCCATCCCCTTCAATCCTGTCTCTTTCTTTGTCTTCACCTCCTCATACTAATATTGAGCTTCTTACATCTTCGCCATCCTCTCAGACTGCGACCCTTCTCAAGGATTAAAACCATCGAAATGTCATTTCTAATCCGCTAAAACACGACTATCGACTTAATATAGAAGCTTCCAACGTTCGAACCTCATGCTACCGAATCGGACAACATGCACTGCTTGTCAGAAATCTGGAATATCTACTCATAAATGTATGCCATGTTTTTAATGTATGCATACAGAACTCAAAAGTGGTTACTAACTTTACCTCACCTGGTCATTGTGGCGAACCTTCAAAACCGACTGAATGAGTATACGGAGACCCTATAGTTTCCTCTCGTGGACTCCACTAGTGTACGATAGCACTGAGTTGTACAGCAGAAAGTGCGCTTCTCGACTGAATGGGTTTGTAAGAACAAGGGAGGATAGTGAGACGGCGAAGACTATTCGTAATCTCCGTCTAAGCATCCACCGACTGCAGTTCACACGGTGAAAAGGATGAATTCAGTGAGAAGCTGTCAAATTCGCTACAGAAAGCAAAACGTTCACATCTAGTCATTATGGCAGGTGACTTTAACGCTCAAGTAGGGAAGCTGAGATGGGCCAATCGGAAAGGTATCCTACAGGTATGTACGAAATCCCATGCCAACGGGTCGACAACGAAGAGGTTGCCTTGCAATTTGCTCCAACAGTCACTTGTTCCTGGCCAGGACTAGCTTCAGGCATAAGGAGAGACACTGTCTCACATGGCGTCCGCTGACTGTAAACCAATGATGGATACAGATAGATCATATTGCCGTCAGCCATCGTTGGAGAGGATCGGTGGAGGGTTGCTGCTCTTTCTGGAGTACATGATAGTAATGCTCATCCTGAGAAAAATGGGCGCTATAGAAACAGCGGTAAAGACAGCTGGTAACCTACATCAGAAGGTTAACAAAAGTCAATGGATTTTCACAACTTCATCTGAATTGATTGATGCGAGAAGACTCATTCTACCTGGCTCTGACCACAATGAAGAGTGAAATCAACTCGGAGATAAAATGACCAAGAGACTTCGCAATTATCCTGAGCAGTGGTGGGTGGCGAAGAAGAGAGTGACGGGGAGCGCATCAGCATTAGGTGACAGTCGGCTGTTATACACACTCAACCAGGATACTGGAATGAAGAAAATGATAGTTAATGAGATGCTAACGAAAAAGATGGTACCCTGATAACCTCCTCGGACAAACGGCTAAAACTTCGAGACACACTGACTAGGTCTCAGCAGCTCTTCAATTACCCAATATTCAGCCATAAAATGAGTAAAGCATAAACATCGGTTTTCCAACTGTCGTAGAAGTTAATAAGGTTGAGTCAAATCTGAAACGATGCAAAGCGGCAAGACCTGACTTTACCTATCCGAAGTTTTCAAGCATGGAACTAGGTGTACGGGAATCAGAGATAATCATGTCACACTCGTTTACTTCACAAATTACCCCACCTTATAAGTCTTTTGTGACATGCATTTGGGAATAAGTTTGACCAATATTGTTCCCAAGATCCTGGGGCCTACAGTTATCCCACGCTAAGTGGAGGTCGACAAAAAGGAACCCGATAAAACCATGCAGGGTTCAAACAAAACCAGGAAGCTTCGACCATACAAATCTCAACACGTTATTGAAAGCAAGCAAAATAAGAGCGTTAGAATTTGTCACACTTCTTGACTTGAAGACGTCATCTCACTCTGTCGACGTGAAGTGCTGTGGTAGTGTCCAACTACGAAGAGAGAGGCAAGCAGGCGCACAACGCTAATCAAAACTACACACTCAAACTCACACAACCGTGTCAGGTCCTATGGAGATTTGTCATCTTAATTGACTACTAGTGGTGTCCTCCAGGGATGCTTAGTCATCGTTCCTGTTCAACTTCGTTATAAATGTATTAATGGAAACAACGTAAGATACTTCACACCGATGGGAGAGGTGTCGTGTGATTGACCTGAAGCACGCTGACTATGTTGTCTCGCCAGGTAAAGACTCTGACAAAATGCCAGGGTCCTCTGAACGCATTGAAAAGAAATCTGAGTATGTTTGGTGTGCATCTTACAATTGACAGGTGCATAATACATACCAAACACACCCGTCAAATGTAAAATAGTGCTCTAGGACTGGTCTGTGACTACTCCTAGTTTAATGACAAGTAGCGTAGTCGTGAGATGCACCAACCACTCCGCTTACTCGGGAAGTTGCATCGGCTGGAACAGGCTGGTTGCTGACGAAATCTCAGCTCGGATACAGAAGACTCATTTAGCATTTGCCAACTCGCGTCACCCCTGGCGTCTACTGGCTGGATGTTCGACTACCTGTGAGAGGACGAGTATACTGCGGTGCAGTCCGTTCTGTCATGCTATACGGCTGTAAGACATGGCCGTTGGAAGTAGACGACATGAAGAGACTACAGACTTTTAACCACAGGTATCTTCGTAGTATTGCTCGAGTATGCATGAGTCACTATGTTAGCAATGTTGAGGGTAGGCGAAATATACCAGGTGGGAGGGCAAGTCAGTCGATGAGGTTGTCAACTTTCATCGACTGAGGCGTCTTGGACATGTACTGAGCATGCCGAGCCACCGCCTACTTCGACGTGCAATGATAGGAGAAGTTGGATTAGTTTGGAGGAGTGTTCAGGGTGACCAGACCAAGATATAGAGTCTATGACTTGGTGTGAGCTGTGTAGTGGGGTATAGACTACTGCCTAGTTGGAGTTCCTGAGATGATAGGAAGCAGTGATTGAGGACTGTTGGATGCATGGCTGAAAATCGGTTACAATGGTGCAGATGTATTCACTCCTTGACGTCTTCTAAAGCTTGAGTATTTTTCGAATCTTCATCTTCAAATACTTATTCTCTCATACAATTTTGTCTGTTCATTTGTCCTTCGTGTAGTAATGTGGAGTGTGACAACTTGAACGGATGTACTTTTGTGCGAGGTTCTGCGTTTATCTTTTTCTGTTTATGTCTGTTCACGCTGATTACAGCGCTTGCTTAACGTCAGATCTCGCAATTCGACTTATTGCGTACATATTAACATTGACATTCTCTAACATTGATAAAAATGAAACCGGATTAATGTACAAATAAGCTTACCACCAATGCCTGTATAAGCGTCGCCACTGAGCGGTGAGTACTTGCTGATACATTCTTTGATAATTCTAATAGTTGGTTAAAGAATCCAACCAATTTAGTTGAAGAACCCGACTGGGATGTGACAACTCCTGTTTATGGAAACAAACATCATACAGTAGTCGTCCGAAAAAAATACTATATAAATAAAACAACTCGAAAAATAAGGGAACAACACTTTCAACTAACTTACTTGAATCACTCAAGTTATCACAATCTAGTTGAGAGTTCCAAAGTAATCAATGGGAAAACCAAAAAGGCAAATTACCATTTGTTTCTTTGGTCTGACTTTCAACAAAATTTATTCTTAACATCAAATGAAGAAGCTAGTTTTTTTCACAGTATGTACAGGTATTCCAAATAGGTTGTCCTTGAACTCATTACCCCTGAGGTTTTCATATGTAAATCAAAAGACAGTAATAAGGATTTTACTTGGCCGCACTTAAAAACTCATACTTCATGTTCAGAAGATTGTAAATTCAGTTATCCCCAACACTATCATCATTAGTATTATTATGAAGAAATATCAATCATCGACAGATAAAGACGACGTGGGGACAATCGTATTAGTTAATGCTGATACAGTCAACAATGCAAAGAAAAGTCGTATAAAGGAAACAAAATAACTTTGCAGTTCATACTGGGAGAACTGAAAGTGTGAAGTAAACAAGATGGTACACAATGGGATACTCACTGAACATACACAGATCCATCTGTATAACTGTAACCAATTGTAAGATAAACATGTCTTCAGATCCATCAAAACTGAAGACCATTACAACTCAGATCAGCTAAAGAGGTTATGAGAATTGATCACCCTGAATAGTTTTTTGTTTCCTTGTCACTGGCTAACGTCGGACATTGAGATGAGTGATGGCTGTATGAGTAACACATTTTGAACACTGACTGGTGTTACATGGTTGGAAGTACTCGGCGGGAAGCCGTAGGCCTAAGTCTCTTGCACCCTGGTACTCACCAGCCAGTTTTATCTGATGCTGATTGTTCCTACCATTGTAGTAACATTACAAAACGAGCGATAGAAATCAGTTGGCATTTAGAACTAGACAATATGAAAATGGTCACTGCAGTTGCTAAATAATACATTGCATACACTTCAGGCGATGAAATTTAACAACTTCCCCAATGACTTTACCGCTTTAGTAACCTAACAATTGTTCAATAGGCCGATCATACGTGAAGGATTGCTTAAAAACCCATGTACTGGGATCACATTTTAATTGGTTGAAGAAAGAAACTGATGACTTCAGAAACACACGTTTGAAGATGTAGGATATTTCTCACCACTAATCTACACAAACCCCACTAATAAATCAGTAAACTCATATCAATGCGAGTCAACCCGTTGTGGATATACCTACTACGCTATGACTCTCACTCAACATGACGGCTTGTGACACTACCCGGATCCAAGTGGAATGTGGTATGAACCCAGGACTAACTGTTCAAAAGTCAGTTTGCTTAAACCAATGAGCCAAGTCTCAATATAAGTTAACACGAATGCTCAGAGTTTTTAGCCTTCACTAGTGCTAGATGTCATCCTTTCTTGGACTTAATTTGATATCACATATTGAAGTCAATCAGTCTGATATATTCTTATAAATCCGAGTTATCGACCACTGAGTGATCGGAAAGAACTATGCCTGACTCCTTTATACCAGTTGGTGTATATGGTGTTTCCAGGTCAACATACTGAAAGCTTCTGGAAACAACGCAGCAAGACATGCTACTATTCCGTTTCCCAGGTTTTTAGGGATGTGATTTTTTGAAAACCTATTGATAAAGTTCAGTTTCACAAGTAACACCTTCATGTAGAATAGAAAAACAAGAATAAATGTCTTATTTTCTTTATAGCGTTGAACTACAACCACCTTATAATCAACCTGCGATTGCATAATGTCAATTTGTACTGTATTACTTGTAAAACTATAGATTTTATGAACCCTGTAGTCATATTCTTATCCAGTACAATATCAAGCACAATATGTTGTTTATCATGTGACTATCTGAGATAGCCGTAGTTTGGTAGACTAGTATTTATACTGGGTAGTGATTAAGTTGAGATGAAAATCTGGATCGCTGCCGGATTCTAACTTATAACGAATTCCGTTCATGAAAAGTACAATCCAGCGGAAAGACGTTAACGTAAATTAACTGGAATAATTTAGTAACAGGGTGGACGACACTGTGATGATGACTGGACATAAACGATAAATATGATTAAGGGTTGCAACGCTGGAAACCTATTCGCTATGTACTTCAACCAGTTAACATAAACACGTAGATGCAACTCAGCATAATCACTGATGGTAGAGTTAGTTCGATACTAAATTTGTTGATTTGATATGCAATTACAGTGTAAAAGTTTTGCCTCCGACTCTCCTTCGAAGAGTTGGGCAGAAACGCACATCCTTTTTATCACCTGAACTCGATCTGATTAATCATGAATAAAATACGAAGCCATCAATACAAGCAATAAAACAAAACTATTTCACTGTTAAAAACATCATATACGGTGAGAACGTAGTGCAGTTTACTGTTTGCTTAGGGTAAACTAGTTTTATTATTCCTCATAAGGAACCGCCTCAAAGAGCGCTTATTTTGCTCCTGCCCAGTTGTCAAAGTATAATTATTTCCAAAAACAATGACTCAGTTTTACATACGAATAACGAAGGGAGTATGACCAAAAAACAATGAGAATGTTGTGCAGTAAAATAAGCACATTCATAGAACGATACTCACTTGGTATAACAGGTGGGTTTGCACGCAAACCATTTGGTTGGATTACAGTTTGTCCGAGTGCGAGACTTCGGACCTGCAGCACACTCGGGGCATTTGGAAGAACATTGTTAGAAACTCCAGACTTTGGAAGTAGGTACACTTGATTTACCATAGAAGGGCGGGAAACCTTTTAAAAAGAAGCATTGGAGTTTTCCATAGAAATTTCACGTTTCATGAATACCGTAAAACAGTATACCTCAAGTAAGAAAATAAGACATAGCTAAACTAATTACAGTGTATAACCTTTTACCATATGAGAATGTCAGAAGTGTGAAAAATGTGAATTCCGAGAAGCAACTGCGTTGCAGATTTAGCTTTAAAAACACACTGATTTGGTCGGTTTGAAGTCACAAACAGCTAAATTAGTCAGCTGGTAAACTTTGTAACGCTAGGGCACGATACACATAAAAATGAAAGGCACCTCGTAATCGCAAACAAATACTTAGGTTCTGTTAGGTAATGTGGGTAGCACAGTAACATAACAGGAATACGAAAGATATTACTCTACAGATAACGAATAAACGTAATACCATGTTATAGATCCTAAGGTAGTAGCCGATTTTCCAGCTGCCAAACAAAACCCTAACACAAAATCCTGAAAAATAAGCCCTATTCAGAAATCTCCACCTCGAAACACGGTATAGGTTAAAGTTAATGAATTTATAGGGAGATCTCATTTAGATTTTTCTAATCTACCACTGCCGTGCCACACTGTGGTTGAAAACAAAGCGAGCATAGCACATGGCGCACATATGTAAGTCTACTTAAAGATACAATTTTATCAACTACTTGATCACTATTGCCTGAAAGCCCGAGCTTCAATCCAACATTTTGCACGTATTCCTATGACACAACACTAGTCTTCCAGGTTACCCGTAGTTATCCTAGCTGATTTGCAGTGGACTGTCACGTAGTTTATTCAACTTGCGACCTGTCGGTACCAAATTCCTCCTAAGCTTCCTGTATTCGTGACAAAACTATAATAATTATCAGCATATTAGCGATGAAGCACTCAAAACACTACACCACCTTGCTCCATGAGGTTAAGCTAGCTTTCAATGAAAACCAATCACAGAGAATCATCTACACTTCAAACACTAGGTTTATGGTTAAGTTATTCAGAAAACTCAAATGCTTGTATTTCAAACCGATTACATTCCCAGTTAAATTGACCTAAAAGAAAACATTTATGAATATAGTCGGTAACATTTGGTAAATAAAAACTAATGATTATCCTCAACTCAGAAAACGACTTTCCATAGGCACTAACACGCATGTGTCCTAGCAGGACTATTTCAACGCAGCATACACTTTATGACACTTTTACAACAAAAATAACTATCGTTAAAGTAAATCATCAGTTAGATGAAGGAGAAATATTGATAGTAGAAATATCACATTCCCTCTATCGTTTGTAATACAAGAATATTGAAAGCGGGAGATATGATGAGCGTTCATATCTAATCTTAGAAGCTTGTACAGCACTCCTCAACTGAGCGAAAAGATACAGTATGTAAAACACGAGGATAAAGTGTGCTAAAAAACCATTTAGTGCGGCAGTGAATCTATGCTTAGTGGATGCGACCTGATTTTAATGCTAAGCGATTAACTACATCACTGTAAGGGACTGGAAAATGTTGATTTTCAAGCTGTAACTGGTATGGATCGACTGTCGAGTCGCTTACTCCAAGAAACGTTTCAAAATTCAACACAAGCAGATAGACAGAACTATCTTAGAACCTCCCACATAACGGCATCTGTTCAGAATGCCACCCTTCATATTAGATGAACAAGTGGATGCAAAAAGACTGATATTATGGTAGACTCATGTTGAGGAGGTAATTTAAACTCAAGCTTAGAGAAAATACCCAAGCTTCAGAAGACGTCAAAGAGTGAATACATCTGCACCATTGTAACCGATTTTCAGCCATGCATCCAACAGTCCTCAATCACTGCTTCCTATCATCTCAGGAACTCCAACTAGGCAGTAGTCTATACCCCACTACACAGCTCACACCAAGTCATAGACTCTATATCTTGGTCTGGTCACCCTGAACACTCCTCCAAACTAATCCAACTTCTCCTATCATTGCACGTCGAAGTAGGCGGTGGCTCGGCATGCTCAGTACATGTCCAAGACGCCTCAGTCGATGAAAGTTGACAACCTCATCGACTGACTTGCCCTCCCCACCTGGTATATTTCGCCTACCCTCAACATTGCTAACATAGTGACTCATGCATACTCGAGCAATACTACGAAGATACCTGTGGTTAAAAGTCTGTAGTCTCTTCATGTCGTCTACTTCCAACGGCCATGTCTTACAGCCGTATAGCATGACAGAACGGACTGCACCGCAGTATACTCGTCCTCTCACAGGTAGTCGAACATCCAGCCAGTAGACGCCAGGGGTGACGCGAGTTGGCAAATGCTAAATGAGTCTTCTGTATCCGAGCTGAGATTTCGTCAGCAACCAGCCTGTTCCAGCCGATGCAACTTCCCGAGTAAGCGGAGTGGTTGGTGCATCTCACGACTACGCTACTTGTCATTAAACTAGGAGTAGTCACAGACCAGTCCTAGAGCACTATTTTACATTTGACGGGTGTGTTTGGTATGTATTATGCACCTGTCAATTGTAAGATGCACACCAAACATACTCAGATTTCTTTTCAATGCGTTCAGAGGACCCTGGCATTTTGTCAGAGTCTTTACCTGGCGAGACAACATAGTCAGCGTGCTTCAGGTCAATCACACGACACCTCTCCCATCGGTGTGAAGTATCTTACGTTGTTTCCATTAATACATTTATAACGAAGTTGAACAGGAACGATGACTAAGCATCCCTGGAGGACACCACTAGTAGTCAATTAAGATGACAAATCTCCATAGGACCTGACACGGTTGTGTGAGTTTGAGTGTGTAGCTTTGATTAGCGCTGTGCACATGCTTGGTACTTTTCACAGGATACACCGTGCCTTTAAGAAGTCATGAATATATTACATGCTGTAAACCTTTTTTTTCACGAAATACCAAATGTTGAGTATACCTGTTACAGGGCCCAGAATCTTTTACGACAATGCCAGTTGCTTCTATTTCCAAGACATGCCTGTTAAGCGACAACACTTACTCATTTCCACTACTTTAAGCGCACTCATTCTCCCACTTCATAACGCTTCTCCCCAGTAGCTTTATTCTCATTACTTGTTAATCCATCCTCAATATGCAAATAAGAACCACGGGAACTTCAACTAGAACACTACATCATTTTGCAACTGAGGTTTGTCAGTTAAGACTACCAACAATAACTTACTGTGCGACGAGTACAAACTCTATGTCTAATTTGTTAGGGATAGTTGCCTTCTAACTCACATTAAATGAATTTCACAAACTTGTTCGAAAGCCCTAATATGGTTCTTGAGTTATATTATCGATTTCCGTACTAAGTCTTGAAGTCGTTGATAGGCTGTAGAATTTTTCTATGAATTCACACGGTTAACAAATCAAGCCAACTGAGTCAAGCTGCACCCAGTTCCTGCACCAAATCAGATGAGTAAACTAACTTCCTATGTCAAACCATCATTATTTCGAAATTCAAAAGTCCGGCCAACTTTCGTCGCACCCAATACTCTCCTGGGCTGAGTTAGCCCAGAACCACGATAAGTTTCTGAGCTTTACGAGCTTCCACAATCTCTTTCTACCCAATTGTCACTTAAAACTATTTCCATCGTGGCATTTGGGGCCATCAGCGAAATATACAAACCGATTTATACAAAGCCCATTAGGTTAGGGTAATTCGATGACAGCACCCTGAGAAAAGTTGTCGACAAAAATCAAACAAGTAGGTAAACATGTCCTATGATATGTCATTGTATTGTAATGTAACTGGTTTCGGCTCCAAATCCAGCAGTCTATTTTTGCCTGAGCAACCAGGTAGAGTTAGTGAACCAGCCAGAAAAAAAGTAATGGGTTAGGTTCGAGTATACTTATATCATAACCTGTTTGATCTCTACGGTAATATCTAGACTACTTGATTACTCACGTCCGTGGGCCGTTATTCCGGTTCCTGTAACTTCTTGAACTTAGGTTGACGTTTACATACAGAGGGCTGCAATCAAGTACTTTACCAGCTAACAGTTCAACTATTTTGTTTTCAGATTTTGGCGAATAAACTTCCCGGACTCTGCATTCGAAAAGCGGAAAAGTATCTACGAATAAGAACAGTTTTGAATCCAATTCATTTTGACTGTAAAAGACGAAAAGTTGTCCACCTCTCTATTAACGGAGTGAGCAACACTGCTAGCTATTAGTTCTTACGATTTCCGTAAAGGCTCGTCAAAAATCATTTCGAAATACCTAGAGCTGAAGTCTGCATGTTAACAAAGTATGTTTAATTGTTGAAATATTTTGTCATTAGAAGCGTTCGATCATTTAACTAACGCCATTCAAATTGGATTATTGGGATGAAACATATATTGTGCTTAACTGCCAAAGAAACGAACTGTATGATGGGGAACTAACCATTTCAGTAGCCGTGACCTAATCATAACAGTATTTCTTATCTATCATTGTACGCTTCAGATAATGTAGATTGGCAGCAGTCTCGACACCCAACAAAAGTTGGTCGAGATTAACTAACCGCAAGATTCGGAAACAGCGTAGAGGTTCTGTAATCTTGGTGTTTTCTATCAGTTTGATAGTTGAGCACGATTTCAAAGGATCGCAAATACTTCCACAGATTGTCACCATCAACATATACTGTTCAAAGTTGACTACAGTTCTGCTTTTATGGCCATAACCCGATACTTCTCACAATGCAATGTGTACTCAGAAGGGGGCATCAGTGGTTACGGTGATAGTAATCACATCACTAGTGTGCTTTTACTAGGTTCTTACTGATGGATCGAAAGGAAACAGCCGTTGTCTTCCGACATACATTCTTTGCACTTCTTTGCAAAAGCTTTTCAATGAGATTATTATCAGGTCTGTCAGATATTCGCATCATAGCTAACTAAATATTACAATTGTGAAACCTGAACTGGAGGTGTTTTAGCACGACTAGGAAACACCTTCTGCAAGTCCTATCTCACCAACAAATCAAGTAGGTGTACGGGTGTGTACCAATGGCTACTCAACAAATAAAAACTAAAAGTAGAATGTTTGTTTACAGTATATTATCTTGCATTTAACAATGGTATAGTACAATGCAGTGATCTAGTGCGTGTAATTTAAAAACTCTGTCTTACCCTGCGCTTGACCAATCAAACCCTCAAAACTTCTACAGCACTGTCAAATCAACAATTTTGTTAGGAGCATTTACATCATTAAAGTCCCAACAATAAGGACAAAGAGTAGTTAACTAAGGAAACTGAGTGCGGTGAATTTCCCAAATTCACAGCATTAAAGCTGACATTATCCCAGTTTCCAACATTTCATGATCCTAAGGTTCAACAGTCGAATAAACAGTTCTACTGAACACCGAGGAGCATGAAAGTCGTTCTTTTAACCTACGAAATACAATTGTGTGGGACGGATAGTTATAAATAGCCCTAGAATGCCAAAACCGGTGTTTTACGACAAAGTTGAACAGTCGACATATTACAATACGTACACAAATCCTTAACACCTGCAAGTTATCGATTAGTCCTTAGAAATTTAATCAGAACTTACAGGAAATATACCATCCTATGCGTACTCAAAACCTGGTCAACGCTAGGCAAGACGTTAGGCGCTAACACAAGATTAGCATCAACCTTTGGCTTCTGCTTAAACAATTAACACTGACACTTGCAACATGTTGGACAATATCTGCAGAAATAAAAGTCAGACACAGAATAAGAAAGTCAGTCGAGAATACAGCTATTCATCATAAGTCAAGATGGTTAACAGAAAGAAAATAAAAGCTGAATCTTCATTTTCCGAAATGTGTAACTTACACTAGCTGAAACGATATTTCCCAATGGCCTCGATTGCGGTCGAATACTGGATAACGGTATCCTGACGGATATTGGGACCTGTTGTTGTTGACCTACATAATAACAACAAACAATCGTAACAATGAAGGCCATATCCTAGCAATGTCATTTGAAGGTTACACTAAAGCTGATAAAACTAGGCACATTTCTCGGTTCTGAAGGACATTCAGCTGCCCAAGTCGACATCACGAACCCTAATCTACCTACCTGCAGGCCGATCACCCATAACTTCAAGGCCGCGCCTGTAGACTTGTCGCCTAGTTTAAACGCGGCAATAAATTGGACAAGGTTACCAATCTCCTAACACAGATTATAAATCAAATGCCTGAATTTAAAAATGTTGAAGTTGAACTAAGTCAAAATACCAATGAAATCAGAAGGTTCAAGTTATAGAAGTCTCCTGTTGCTTTCCACTTCGGAAAACATTTCTCATAGAGAACACACCCACTCAGTAACCTCCACACAGTCAAGCTAAAAAACCAACAATCTATTCAGGTATTCAGATCAACTCCAACATCGCCGCATTTAATAGTAGCACTTACAGGTTCCAGTTTAAGCTTTCCACCGGATCACTGCGAAGAAATGATTCCAGCACTAAAGTGTTTCCAATAAAGTTCCATGAAGTCCAAACTAAAATCCATTATTTTGCCAGTAGGAAAGTACACGCATTACGTAGTTGTGTGAAAATTTTTTGCTGATTACTACATGCAGTCAGGAGACGATTACTGTTATTTCAAAGTAAGAAATGTCCAACGAACAAACTATCATAGAATGAAGTCATTAGATTGCACTTGTAATAACGGCTTATTGGTCATTTATTCAGGGAAGACGACCTGAGTGAAACTATCACCAGGAAGTGTGAGCAACTAATGAAGAAGACATTCCCAGTAGCCACTCAGTAAATAAATTTCTGAACGGAAGTTGTCTTACTATGGTAGAAAAAATATGTGGTTTCTCGTATGTCCACATCAGTGATCGTCTGTGACTCTGACCAAACCGGTGCCCTCAGTTTTTCTTGACATATCATAGAGACTTGTTTCCAGTGTGCCACAGAATACTTGACAGTCCAGCTGATGAAGACTGGATGGAGGCCAATAATTCCACAGAACGAATACCTTGAAGTTCGATGAATTTATACATTGATGCGTCCGTAGTCTTAGAGGACTGTTTAGGGCTGAAAGTCCATGATCAAGCGTCCGCACCATTGACCATCGTGTCATCACTTTTTCCTTCCATCGGCTACACGTGAAAGTCTAGCCAGTGGGTTGAGGAACACCGTTATTTTAGAACAGCTTGCCAAATGTACTGCTCTTATGTAGCCACCCAACCATGTTCTTTCCCAGTCTCCCATTCGTGGGTACTCCACGAACCCCAGGAGTTATCACTCGGCCACTGTGTCTCAAGACCATGTATGAAATGGCCAGCTCATTCCTCTCATGATTATAGCCTTTGCTTTTCTGCATTAACAGCTTCCGTATCCATGCAGGGCTATACCCCTAAACTTATTCGCATTAATTTGGTTGGTTGCGGCTAGTAGAAGGAACCAGGACGCGCGTTTCGTCCCAGTTGGGACTCGTCAGCTGGGTGTATCTGCATCCCAGTGATGTTTTTCCCACTGAGACTAGAACGTTATGCCCATCGCTTCAGACGCCAGGGCGTTATCCACTATGTGCGACCAACCAAATTATCATAACTAGCGTTCAGACAATGACGAGACATCCATAAAGCGGCCCATATGCCAATGGAGATCGAACGATTCGATCCAGCAGAACAACCGGGGGAAACAATTATGTCAATAAACAGTAATTATCTGCATTAAGCCTGAAGTACAGCCAATCCACCTAGCGCCATTCTCATCAGACAACTCAGAAACATGTTACCTGTAGGCTGAAGCCGATTTTCGGGGCAAAACGCCTCTGGTCTTTGTTCCCTATTTCTTGTTGTCATGCGACCATCACCACGAGAATAAGTCACTCGAGGTGAGACATATATCATCGACCTTGAAGTGGATGAATCCTATGTGCCGTTCAAACTGCCTTTCTGCAAATGCTCGACCTCGTAGATTGTCCAAATTCGGATGAAATGCCCCGTAACCTTCAGATAGTGAACATTCCAGCTACTTGAGATTTAGAAGTTTTGGAAATTCCCCCCATGCAAATTAGAACAAGACATATGGGCGAACAATACTGTTCTCGATTAGATCCTCCTCAGGCTATACTCTAACTCAGATAGCTCAATATATGTGTACACAAAACGAAAACAACCATGTAGATTTGTCGATTGATGTGGTAAGCGCTTAAATGTTTAAGAAGCTGTGGTATACACAGAGAAATGTTCAGCAAAATCTTGTTTTCAATTTTCCAGACACGCTTGTGTTACGTTAAAACTTAACTGGAAAATTGCTATACTCCAGTTAATTGCGATTAGTGAACTGTCAGCGTCAGACGACTTCAAAAGAACCTCAGATAGACATGTTTTCGAAGCATCTTATTTGCAAAACCTTTGGGATCACAATCTAAATATGGCGGAGCTATACAACGCCTACTTCGAACTAGGAGGTCAGGTCGTCAGATGCGACGCAGTAATAACCTGCTTCACTCAGCCTCAGCGATTCATGTGGGCATCCGGCAGCTAAACTTCAAAAATACGAAAACTCCAAGTGTTGTTGGACCCACATTATATGTGGCGAACTAGTTAGAGCGTTTCGAAAAAAGTGCTCTTCAGACAAATTTGGCACGAAATCAAGGGAGTGGCACCCCCAGGCAAGCATTAACTGCAACCGTATCCGATAAAGCAGCTGTTTGTTGTGATTCACTGAGGTGAAAACGTAGTTTGCTATCTCGCCGACTCTGAAGCAGAATTTAACGTTCTTCCTACAACCCACCCCCGCATAGGCCCGAGTCCAACCATAATTAGAACGGAATACACAGTCGAACCTGGGGTTCAGACAACTGACACATCCTCCATCACGCATAACCATTAATGTTATGCGTCACATCACAGCCATAACTCAACCTGTGATATGTAAAACGTGTCGTCTAGAAATGAAATGCCCAGAATGTTGTGAAACCAACCGGATCATAAGCTTAAACTGAGCATTATCAAAGCGTCGGACAGTCTCTCGGCATCGCGATCATTTATGTTACCCAACAACTGTGGGAATGGCTGATATTCATCCCGTGATCACCAACAGCTTGCTGCCAAAACGACTTCTGACTGTTACCCGACACCTAGGCCTGAGACTTGACCACTACTTTACGCGAGTTGAATATACTTGAGAGATAGACCAAGTCAAAGCATACAGTCAGGTACCTACGACAAGAGAGGATATCTTAGAGGCGGCAGCCTGATTAGTTCTTTGATTTGCCAAAATTTTTCATTCTGTGTTTTGCAGAATACACTCCACCTTATCTAAGTTGTCCAAGTATATCCCTTATTCGTGTTAACTACTCAAATGAATTTTCAAAAGGTTGTCAACCTGTTGCTCCGGTGGATTGCAGCGTGGACTGAGGTCAGCAAGGTAATACCAGATGGCTATGTCTGGAATGCTCAGCTCATAGCACAGATAGGTGCTGGTTAAAGTGGTCTCCATAGGTTGTCCCTTATTTTCCAGCGTTTACCTTAATGCTGGCATGAAGAAACTGAAGGAAACTTGTTTCGATAACCTATTGGCGACAGCTTAGTTTCTTTAGATGGCTTCCAAATGTTTCGCCAGGATTAGCGTTGTTTGACAAAGATGTGTCGTGAATGTGTAGCTACCTTTATGAACAGCCAGTGGCTTTCATCGAATTATGTCTGCCTTACCTATTCTGTTGACGATATATTACCCATATGTGTCGTCCCAAACCCTTAGATAAGTATGACAGCATTTATGTTATCACTTTTTACGTGACCAGCTACTCTGAATTATCTAGATTGGCTGACCAGCTCGAGGAATTCATGGCTTCCGTAGCATATGGTTCACTGTCTATCATCTGGGGGTGATTCGAACTCTTATGACTGCAGCCTCACGTTTTCCCTAGGACGCAGGAACCCATTCAATTTTTCAACTCGTCTCGATGCCACATTGGACTTGATCTTCGTGATTAACTCATTACATGTGAAACTTGGAAACGGGTGCCATTACTAAACTCAGGTCACTGTATTGCATGTGTTTTGTCGAAAGTATACGACAAACTAAAGAGGGCACATTTTCGCGCGAGCTTAGACAGAGTGCACAAGAGAGCTTTACAAATTCAGGAGCATGCTGCAAAACACAGAATTGAACACAGCCTAAGATGGCGGGTTGGAGGACGCCATCGACACTGTTCCATGTCATCCTACGTTTCGCCTTGACATTTTCTGCCCAGTCGTAATACACTTCTTGAGATTTGATGGACCTTCCTCCCTGCGATTAAGGAGACTGCAGAGCGAAACAGAAAATTGCATAAATCAAACGGTAATACCAGCGCTAAACGACTTAAGTGCCTGATCAAGGTTAAAATAAAGGCATTAACCTAATGTATAACCAGATTATTTTGTGTAAGAACTTCCGAAGATCCTATTGGAAAGAAAAACTCAGCGGCGAAACTTGTGAAAATGCTTGGGTATTAGACCAGTCTTTCTTACGCAAGCCCTCAAACATTGTCTTGTCAGATTCTTTACTTGAAACGGATGGGCTTCCCACGACCCAGATCAGTTCGCCCAAAAACCAAGAAAGAACACTTCAGATCCCGTGTCTGCCCTGCATCCTAATATTATTCTCAGCCCGCATAAAGGTCCTAAGTAAGTTGAGCCCGACCCACACGATTACACTTCTGCCGTTGATTCTGTCCCCGGATCCTTTTTATCGGATAAGACTGTCAGGATCCATACTGGATATTATGCCGCGAACAAGCTGCATTCTCACCATCCTGAGATAAGACAGTGTAATTTACGCCGAGGGAAGCACTCCGATTTGCAGCTTAATGAAGCCGGTTCGCTCAGAGGTGCCATTCTTTCTCCATTTCCTTTCTCTTTCTTTTTGAATGATATTCCTGTCCGAGGAGAACTGAATACTCCGAGTATGCGGACAACCTAATGGTATTCAAACCAGTCATCTCTTCAAACTGCTCCCGGTTAATAAGTCCTCACAGGAAAATGGACACCAGGCTTTCTTACTTGATCTCAAACTCACGGTGTCAGGTGGCTAATATTTGGTTGGGGACGGGAAGAAAACCCCAATGAACTGCTTCAGCTACATGACGGTCCACA